ATCTGCCTGCTCATCATTTCTTATAGCACAATAGTATTCCGTTGCATTCATATACTACAACTTGTTCAGCCATTCTACAACATGTTTTCTCTGAAGAATATGTGAATTAAGTTTTAAGTTATCCAAATGAAGTACAAATCTTTTTTTCAGACAAAATTATATAAGATCTAAGAATAAGAATATATTTATTAAAGTCTTATTCTTGTCAAATCTTTAATATTAAAATGCTAACTTTTTTTCAAATTTCTTTATGAATTTTAAGATATTCCTACTTGGGTCATTTCTTATATAGTCCCAGTAAACAGGCACTTTAATAAATGCTTGCTGACTGATTAATGAACAAAGAAGACTGCCTCAACTTTATGCATAGTTGTCTCATGATCCAAACTAAATGGATTTTCATTTTTTGTTCATCACTAAATACTACTCCCCAAATCTTCTTTTACTAGTTTTAAGTGCTACTAATTTGCAAAAATGCTGCTCCCAAATAAAATTTTCTTTTAACTGGAAACTTGTGCTTTCAATGGAGTGCCTGGAATGAGAGGACCATGTGAATGTCTGTTTTGGGGTTCTATGGAACTTTCCTTCATCAGTTTGTTCATGTTCTTTTGGTCCTCCTTCAAAATATATCTCAAGTTCTGTTTTGTGTCTTCCCCTTTTTTTGATGTCTTTGGGATATAACTCTAGCAGTAGTATTGCTGGATCAAAAAGTATGCACAATTTTATAGCCCTTTGGGTATAGTTCCAAATTGCTCTCCAGAATGTTTGGATCAGTTCACAACTCCACCAACAGTGCATTAGTGTCCCAGTTTTCCCACATCCCCTCCAAAATTTAACATTTTCCTTTATTGTCATATTAGCCAATCTGATAGAGAGGTGGTACCTCAGAGTTGTTTTAATTTTCATTTCTCTAATCAGCAGTGATTTAGAGCATTTTTTCATATGACTATAGATAGCTTTGATTTCTTTGTCTGAAAACTGCCTGTTCCTATCCTTTGACCATTTATCAGTTGGGTAATGACTTGTTTTCTTATAAATTTGACTTGGTTCTGTATATATTTGAGAAATGAGGCCTTATCAGAGATACTTATTGCAAATGCTTTCCTTTTTATTTTGGTTGCATTGGTTTTGTTTGTGCAAAAGTGTGTTAATTTCATATAATCAAAATTATTTAACATCTTGTAATACTCTCTATTTTCTTTGGTCCTAAATTCTTCCCTTATCCATAGATCTGACAAACTATTCCATGCTTTCCTGATTTGCTTATGGTATTATTGTTTATGTGTAAATCATGAACCCTTTTGCCCATATCTTGGTATATGCAGTGAGATGTTGGTCTATACCTAGTTTCTGCCATACCGTTTTCTAGTTTTTCCAGTAGTCTTTGTCAAATGAGCTTTTGTTCCAAAAGCTTGGATCTTTGGCTTTATCATATACTAGATTACTGTGGTCATTTACTATAATGTAATATATAACTAATTTATTCCACTGATCCATCACTCTATTTCTTAGCCAGTTCCTGATTTTTTGATAATTACCACCTTATAAGGCAATTTGAGATTTGATACAGCTAGACCATCTTCCTTCACATTTTTTTCAGCGATTCCCTTGATATCCTTGAGTTTTTGTTCTTCCAGATGAATTTTGTTTTTTCTAGCTCTATGAAATAATTTTTTGATAGTTTGGTATGGCACTGAATTAATTTATTAATCAGATTAATTAACCTAGGTAGAATTGTCATTTTTATTATATTAGCTTGGCCTACCCATGCGCAATTAATATTTTTCCAGTTACCTAGATCTGACTTCATTTGTGTGAAAAGTGTTGTGTAATTGTGTTCATATAGTTTCTGGGTTTATCTTGGCAGATAAACTCCCAAGTATTTTATAATGTCTACAGTTATTTTTAAATGGAATTTCTCTTTCTATCTCTTCCAGCTGGATTTTGTTGGCAATATATAGAAATACTGATGATTTATATGGGTTTATTTTGTATCCTGCTAAAGTTGTTAATTATTTGAAGTAGTTTTTGAGTTGATTCTCTAAGTACACCATCATGTCATCTGCAAAGAGTGAGAGTTTTGTTTCCTTGTTGCCTATTCTAATAACTTCAATTCCTTTTTCTTCTCTTATTGCTATACCTAACATTTCCAATACAATATTGAATAAGAGGTGATAATGGGCATCCTTGCTTCACCCTTGAGCTTATTGGGAAGACTTTTAGCTTATCACCGTTACAGATAATGCTTGCCAATAATTTTAGATACATACTACTTAACCATTTTAAGGAAAGCTCTTTATTCCTATGTACCCTAATATTTTTAACAGGAATGGATATTGTATTTTGTCAAAGGCTTTTTCTGCATCTATTGAGATAATCATATGATTTCTGTTGGTTTTGTTGTTGATATGGTCAATTATGTTTATAGTTTTCCTAATATTGAACCAGCCCTGCATTTCTGGTATAAATCTCATTTGGTCATAGTGTATGATCCTTGTGATATATTGCTGCAATCTCCCTTCTAGTATTTTATTTAAAATTTTTGCATCAATGTTCATTAGGGAAATTGGCCTATAATTTTCTTTCTCTGTTTTGGCTCTTCCTGGTTTAGGTATCAGAACCATATTTATGTCATAAAAGGAATTTTGCAGGACTCCTTCTTTGCCTATTTTCCAAAATAGTTTATATAATATTAGGGTTAATTGTTCTTTAAATGTTTGGTTGAATTCGCTTGTCAATCCATCTGGCACTGGGGATTTTTTTTTCTTAGGAAGTTCATTGATGGATTTTTTTTCTTCTAAGATTGGGTTATGTAAGTATTTTGTTTCTTCTTCTGTTAATCTGGATAATTTATATTTTTGTAGATATTCATTAGTTTCATTTAGATTGTCAAATTTATTAGCATATGATTAGGCAAAATAGCTCTTAAAAATTGTTTTAATTTTCTCTTCATTGGTGGTGAATTCACCCCTTTCCTTTTTGATACTGGTAATTTGATTTTCTTTCCATTTTTAATCAAATTAACCAATTGTTTACTTTTATTATTTTTTCCCATAAAACCAGCTTCTAGTTTTATTCAATGGTTTTCTGGCTTTCAATTTTATTAATATCTCCTTTGATTTTTCAGGATTTCCTATTTGGCATTTAATCAAGATTTTTAATTTGTTCTTTTTCTAGTTTTTTTAGTGGCATGCCCCATTCGTTGACCTGCTCTATTTTGTTGATATAAACATTTATACACATAAACTTTCCTGTAAGTACTGCTTTAGCTGTATCCCATAAATTTTGATATGCTGTCTCATTGTTGTCATATTCATTAATGAAATTATCAATTATTTCTATGATATGTTCTTTGACCCACTTAGTTTTTAGTATTAGGTTATTTAGTTTCCAATTAATTTTTTAATCTATCTTTCCATTGCCCATTATTGAATTTAATTTTTTTTTTTTGCATTATGATCCGAAAAGGATACATTTACTACTTCTGCTTTTCTGCATTTGGTTGTGAGGTTTTTATATCCTAGTACATAGTTGGTTTCTGTGTAGGTGCCATGTATTGCTGAGAAAAAGGTATATTCCTTTCTGTTCCAATTCAATTTCCTTCAGAGATCTATCATATCTGTTTTCCAGAATTTTATTCACCTCCTTAACTTCTTTCTTGTTTATTTTTTTTTTTGTTAGTTTAGCCTGGTTCTGAGAGGAGAGTGTTAAGGCCACCCACTAGTATAGTTTTATTGTTTATTATCTATCTCCTTTAACTCATTCAGCTCCTCCTTAAAAATTTTAAATGCTATACCATTTGGTGCACATATGTTTAGTATGATATTACTTCATTGTCTATGGTGCCTTTCAGCAAGATATAGTTTCCTTCCTTATCTCTTTTAATTAGATTTATTTTTGCTTTTCTTTGTCTGATATCATGATTGCTACCCTTGCTTTTTTTTCCCCTGCTTCAGCTGAAGCATAATATATTCTGCTCCAGTTCCTTATCTATACTTTGTGTGTGTCTCTGTGATGCAAATGTGTTTCTTGTAAACAACATATTGTAGGAGTCTGGTTTTTAATCCATTCTGCTATTTGTTTCCTTTTTTATAGGTGAGTTCATCCCATTCACATGTATAGTTATGATAACTGTGTGGTTTCCCTCTTTGCTATTTTTCCCTTGTTTGTCACCTCCCCCCTTACCCCACTCTGTCACTTGTCGTGTTTTACTTCTGATCACTGTCTCCCCCAATCTACCCCTCCCTTTTATCAGTCCCCCCCCACCTCTTTTATCCCCATCCCTTTTTTACTTCCTTACAGGGTAAGACATATTTCTGTATTCAACTGAGTATGTTATTCCCTCTTTCAGCCAATTTTGATGAAAGTTAAGGTTTAAGCTTTGCCCACCCACCCCCATCTTCCCTTCCATTATAATAGCTCTTTAACGCATCTTTTATGTGAGATATTTTTACTCCCCCCCATTCTATCTCCCCCTACTTCTAATGCAATCTTCTTTTTCACACCTTTATTTTTTGGGGGTATCATCCCACCAAAGTCACCTTCCATCTGTATCTTCTTTCTACATATATTTCTTCTAATGGCCCTTATAGTAATAAAGTTCTTAATAGTTACAAATGTTATCTTGTCATATAGAAATATAAACAGTTTAACCTTACTGCATCTCTTATGTTTTCTCTCCTTTTTTTTTCATTTTTATGTCTCCTGTGACATGTTAACAGATTATCAAACAGCATAAACATTCTATTAGATTGCCTTTGCTCTGAAATGAGCAAAACCAAATTCTCCTTTTATTTAAAGAAAAATCAGTTTTTGATTACCCATCCTTCACCACCTCTCCCTGTCTCATGATCTGATAAGGCAAATCAAATCCATCCCTCCATTAGTGGAGATCTCAGAATTTACAGAAGTCCCAAATAACTCCATTTTGGGGGCCATTCTGTTATGGTACTCAAAAAATAAATGAAGCTTAAAAAACTTTACAAAGATGATTTGCCACATTTTTCTAATTTATTTGAATTTTTTTTAAACTGGACAAACTTCATAAATACATTATTTAAGAGTACAGCAGATTATTTCTCATTCATGAAAAAATAATGCTTTCCATTTTTTCACATTTTAAAATGTTTTTGTTTGCTTTCTCAAAAGAAGATTTCAAGAAGAAAGTAATGATGGCTGAATTTACAGAATGTCCATGTAGGAGTTGCATTTACAAGAACCTGATACAGAAGCCTATCATTTGCCCCTACAAATAGAGCTCAGTGAAAATATTTAAACAGGCTTAATTTAAACACCCCTCCCTCCCATTTGCTCTACTTGGAGAGTAAGGAAGTATTTATTTTTTCAAGTATTAGATTTACTAATTTTTTTTTGTTGCCAATTTTACACATTACAGCATTTAAAACCAAGACATCCACCTGAAAAATCATGCCCATCATCCCAGTTAGCCCATCCCTTTCAAATCCCAGTGCATTTGGTCTTTCAAAGAATGCAGAATATATTGATTTGCTAAGAAGGAGCACGTTTGGAAAAAGCCATTTAAAAGTGCCAAGTATGTGAAGCATGACTTTTTTTTTTCTATTGGCAAAAACTATTAGAAAGGCGATCCAGTCTATTCCCCAAGGTTTCTTTAGCTGGTTTTGATAAAGTCTCTTCAAAAAGATATTCAAGAAATCTTTAGAAAACTGGAGAGGAAGGAAAAAAAAAAAAACACTCCTTCATAGCATGGAAGGAATTCCATTAACTGTAGAAATGCTTATTAAACTTCACCTTTGGTTCTTCAGAAGAAATGGTCATATAACTTCTATATTAGGAGACAGGAAAAAGAAATATGTTATGACAATCACATGAAAAACCTGCTCAAAGAATATAAAATCTACCAGTTGGGTTCATATATTCCTAAATTCAAAAGATCTGCAACAACCACCAGGAAGACAAAGAGTCTTTAATTTGTCATTTCTGTGTGCGTGCGTAAGTGTGTGTGTGTGTGTGTGTGTGTAAAATAAAGACACTTATGGCAGAAATGCAAATTAGAAAGTGCCACAAAGGGGCCCTAGTGCTAACAAGAGACAGGCATTAGGTGCCCAGAAAACATTTGAAAAGAGAGCCATCAGTCACATTGCCTAAATTCAGAGAAATGGAAAACTGAATGGAAAACTTTTCTTTGATTCCATGCAAAAAGAAATTAGGAAATTGTATAGGGATGTTTTCTAGCACATAAGGAGAAATAGTATTCTTCCTAATGGTTTAATAATAGCCAACAATGTAGAAGAAGGAAGTGATTTGTTGACCAGGATCCTACCTGCCACATTCAATGGCCTTTTTTCAGTTTTCATCCTCCCATGACTACTCAGTGTTATTTGACACTGTCCATCATCTATCCCCATTTACTGTGCAGTCTCTTTGGTTGGTTTCAAAAACACCATATGCTCATTTTTCCTAATTATTCCTCTTCTCTCTCTTATGACTCCTCATCCTAACCCAAAGGTCCTGTCCTTGGATCATTTTTCTGTCTATTCTATCTTTCTTGTTAAATTCATTCACTCTTTCAGCTTCAGGTCTCATGTCTGTGCAGTTCACTCCCAAATCTCTGTCACTTGCTCTGATCTCCTTCCTGAGCTACAGCCCTACATCTCCAAATGCCTTCAGGACATTTCTATCTAGTTGGATTTTTTTTTAATGGACACTTTAAATTCGACAGGTCCAAAGCTGAGTTTATTTTTTCAAAAAACAAAATTAAAAACCTGCTTTCTTCTGACTTGAATATTTCCATCTCTCTCCTTCTATATCCAATTATTCATCAATCCCATCTCTGCAATGTCTCTCAGATCTGTCCATCTCTTCTCTTTCCATTTTCAGCATCTTGACATATAGGTCCTCATTACCACCTGCTGCAATATTCTCCCAATTTTCCATTATCCCCCCCCTTCATTCTTCATATACAGTTCACAGACTAGTGTTTCTTATGCATAGATCTTTGGCTTAAAATACTGTCTACTAAGTAAAGGTAATTTTTTTTTAGTCTAGCATTCAAGGCCCTCCACAATCTGATGTCACTGTATTTTTCCAGGTTTGTTTCAGGCCTACTCTACTCTCCAGCCAAACTTGGTTACACTCTGTACCCCATGCTTGGTATCTTTCTGCCTCTGTTGGCTTTGTTCGTTCTCCCTACCCTCTCAACACACACACACACACACACACACACACCCGAAATTCCTGTCCCTGGCCTGACCATTCTAGCTCATTTTCCCTTTTCTTTCTGTGACTTTGTTGGGCATTCTGCCTGTACTTATGTATCATTTGGTTTTATACTTGTTTGTGTTCTAGACTTGTGTGACAGTGTAGGCTCCAAGGGTAGAGGCTCTGGGTCTTACATAAACCCAGGAATATCTCTAGGGCTCTGTGTAGAATAACACATGTTTGTGCAACTGTTTTGTGTAAATTTTTTTTTTTGAAAGACCTCAGTCTCAAGTCCATCTCAAACCTAAAACACCAAAACCATTAGTAAGTATTTATGTTAGCAGGTTAAACATCCATTCCTCATTATGGTTTTCTTCATAATGCATTAAGGATCACATGTGAGATAGTACAAAACAAACCTGCGTTAGCAGAGCGCTAAATGGAAAATAAAGAAAGTGTGAAAGGAAAGGAACACAGCAATTAAGTCCTTTTGTTCTGTGTTGTTTTTTTTTCTTTTTTGAACCAAATCTGTGATTTCATTGGTTTAGGGAACTCCCTATAAGGAAACTTCCCCAACCAATTGAGAGTGGTGTTGCCCTGAAATTTAGACTTTTAGCTGTGTGAAGAACAGGACCACACAGCTAGCAGATATCAGAAGAAAGCCTTGAGCCCAGGTCTTCCTGACTCTGAAACTAGCCCTCTACTCACTATACTATACTGCCTCTATAGTCCATTTATTCTTAAGTCCAAAGTGATGGGACTAACTATATGACCCCATCACAGAGTCATACAATGGGCTGCCACCTGTTATAATGGCAATACTTGGTGCTGACAGTAACTACTTGGGATTAGGCCGAGGCACGTGACACTGACTCTTCTAATAGCTGCTCCTTTTGAGCAAAGGCTTCTGGCCATCCGTGAGCCTTGGAGATTGTGGCACAGAAAAGGGCAGGTACTTTCAATAATGGCTGCAACCCCTAATCAAAAGGCAAATTTCACAGCTGTTCAGTGTGGCAAGTTAGCTACACCTGCCTAAAAAAGCCTGTTCAAATAACTTAAAATCTGAGACTAGGACTCACAGATTCTTAAATTCAAATGACCTGTACCAATTGCCATGAAGACAAATTGTAGTCTTTGCTTTAACTTGTAATATTGCATCATTTCATGGGCCACATCAAATAGATCAACAGGATAAGCATTTCTTTGTGACCTTTGACAACAAAGGAAAAATGATACATCTATGGGGGATACTTGGAAAAGAAGGCTTAGGTGGTCCATGGTGGCTACACCTAACTCTCTGAACAGCTACCACGTTGAAGAGTGAGTAGATATCCACTGTGGCTCTAGAGAATAACACTAGAAACTAAATTTGGGCACTGGATCTCACCAGCCATTTAGCCTTCCTATCCATGAAAGGAATTCCCACTGCAACATAGTTGGCCAGCAGTTGTCTAGCCTCTTCTTGCAGCCTTCCGCGGAGGAAGAGCCCACCGCTTCTCGAACTAGTCTATTCTACTTCCAGACCACTCTTATTGTTGGACAGTTTTTCTTGACATCAAACTTAAATTTTGCCCCCTTGCAATTTCCAGCCATTGTTCATAGAACTAACCTAATCCCTCCTCCAATGGCGGTCCTTCAAATTCCTGAGGCCAGTTATCCTATCCCCCCTGAGTTTTCTATTCTCCAGGCTATATAGGTAGAAGAAGCAAGGAGGCAGATTTCAGGTCAGTACACAAGAAAGAAAAAGTAAACCCCAAAATGAGCTTTCAAATAGTGAGCTTCTCCTCATAAATGTTCAGTTTAAACAGAGACTGAATAATTGAATATAATTTAATTTAACAAAAAAGACAAAAAAAACCCAAAAGAATCCTTGACTTCAAGAAGCTTACATTCTCTTGGGGGTGCACAATAGTTTGGTCTAAAGCAAAGTCGGAAGAAAAAGGAGCAAGGGAGAGATGGGACAGAGTGCTTTGAACATTAGAGGAGGGAGGAGATGATCACAACTAGGATGAATCCAAGAGGGCTTCACAGAGTAGGTAAAATTTAAAGCTAGCCCAGTTAAAATTTAAAGGAAGAGGATTACCAAAGACGGAGATGAAGAGGAAACGGTTTCCAGGATTGAAGAAAAAAACTTGTGCAAATACAGGAAGGCACAGATAGAGCAGGGATTCCTGCTTTGAGTAATTGGTTAGTGGAAACCTTAGAGGCCATTCATTCACCCTATTGTATGTTGTCTTTTACAACAATTTTCAGGGAAGTTTACATACAGTTATAAAGCTTTGAACTCCAATACACAAGGCCCTTCAGGTGACACCCGGGGCAGAGCTTACATAGTCTCCATACCTTTCGTAAGGTACCAGCCAATTGATTTTTTCAGAAGTTTTCTGACAATTGCAACAACTGGTCCTAGGCAAACTTACCTGCTGTTTGCTGTGTCTGAACACTATCTACCTGAGGCAATGGCCCAAGAGTCCCCTTATCATCAAAGGCTAAAATTGGATTCAAAGGAATTTCTGGGCTTCCATCACTGTCCGTGATATCCAGTCTGGATGGTTTAGATCCGATGGGTAAGTTTATAATTTCTTCAAAGGTGTCATTATGAAGAGTCACTCCATTTTCATTTGGTTGATTTTCAGTATTGAGGGTACTAGAAAACATTTAAAACGACATAGTTGTAGAATAAGATTTAATGTTGAAACAGAAACAGGCATTTATCTTTTAGGGCAGCCAACTACTGCTTCCTAAAAAGGACTTTTTTGTAACATTATTCATAATTTTATTAGCAGCATAAATGGTAATATCAGCCAAGTTTTTATTTCTCAGTCAATGACAGTTTTGCTTTTTTGACAAAGACATAGGAACATAGATTTAGAGCTGGAAAAGACCTCAGAGTTGTGAAGGATCTCGTTTTCCAGATGAGGAAATTGTGACCCATGTGACATTCTCTGTGTCACATACATAATTAAACATCAGACCCACAATTCAAACTCTGTCCTCTGACTCTAATTCTACTCTGCCTCTCTTTTTAGGCCCTTATTTGAATGGTGATTTTTTTCCGCATGCTAAGGAACTTGATGAAACTAAAGATCATAGCAATTATAATAATGAGCACAGTTTTGTATTTTAAAAACACGTTAAGCTTTTCAAAGGATTTCGAGTGAAATAAGAAGTATGACTATGATTCGTTTCATTTTAGAGATAAAGGAATAGTCTCAGGGAATTGGTCACACAGCGACTCCATGTTGGAATCAAGACTTCGGCCCAATTTTTTTGGGCTGAAGACCCAACTCAAGAGACCCAACCAAGAAAGTCAAGTGTGTGACCATTTGACTCTTGTATCTAAATGTTATTTTCATAGTGCCACACATTATTCACGTGCTGTTACTCTGGCTATTCAACATGGATGCTTGGTACTACCTGGCTATCTTGTCATCTTTATTTAAAATCCCTCCTCCCGTTTTAAACCTGCTTTACTACCTTCCTTCCCAAATACTCAGAGGAGAACATTGCCCTCTGGCTATTTGTTCTCAGAGCTGTATTTAACCCTTTTCTTTTCTATGACCCAGATTTAAGTAGTCACTAAATTTTACCACTTTTCTCTCTTTATTATCTTTCAGTTCCTTGCATTCTTCTCAATTCCCACTAGTAAACTTCTGGACTAGGGACTAGTCAGTCATCTCAGGACATGACCCAATGCCCCATCTCTAAAGTGATGTGGAAAAATAGGACTTCCTTGACAGGCATTTTGATCATGTCTTTCTACTGCTCAAAGCCCTCCTCCATCTATATCTATCCGTTGGGAGCAGAATCTGGACCTGACATTTATGTGCCCTAAGCAAGGTTTGAAAATTGGGTCCCCTGTGAGTTACTGTCCACCAAAGACTTTGAACCTTTATGGCAACTTGACAACACAAGGCACATACCAATGTACTGTGGAGAGTAGGATTTTCTGATGATAAAAATGTGCACATAAAAATGTAATATTAAAGTGTCCCTCATCGCATCCCCCTGCTATGAGCTGTATACCCACTGCCTCGTCTACTCTTGGTCGCAGCTTTATTCAAAATATAAGACAGTGGGATTTCTAATCACTCCGTCCCACTCCCTCAAGACGCCCAGGTCTTGATGCCCATTTTCCTTGGAGGGGCCCTCCCACCTTGTGCCATTGCCTCTAGCCTGGCCTAACTCCAGTTACTCCCCAGTTACTCCCAAGGAAAAAGTGGGGCTTCCTCCAATCTGAACAAAAGGGTTTTCATTCCTGACTGGTTTCCAAGGGAGAACAAACACTGCTGTGTTTCTATTGATCACCGCATATTTTAAACTGGATTACCAAGGCAACTGTTTCTTCCCCAGCATCCTTTCCCCCTTCCATCCTCAAAGTCTGTAGAGCGGACCCTGGGAACTAGGTAGTCTCACTTTCATACTTGGCAAACTGATGGAATCTTTATTCAAGTCCTGGGCATAAAGTAGGTGCCAAATATTTGATTTTTTTTGCCAATTAATAAACATAAGTACCACTAAGCACGTAAGCAAGAATAATCTACTAGGGGAAATTATGATTTCTGCAAGGGAAATCATATCTGACTAATCTACTCAAAGTCCTTAGAGGAGTAAATAAAGCATATGACAGAGTTCCACACCAAAAGCTATTTTAAAGGAAATCGGTTGCATTGGAATTGTGGGGAATGTCTATCTCCCCAACCCCCACCATGATAGGCTTGAGACAGGAAATAAAGGAATATATAAGAATTAATGTGTGTGTGTGTGTGTGTATGTGTATGTGTGTGTGTTTTTAAGGGAAAATTGGCCTAAGTCTGTTGGGAAGCTCCAAGAAATTCTAAAGACAAAAGCAGAAGTTATTCTGATGAGGGGGGTGAGGGAGGAAAGGAGCTGATGTGGATACACAGGGAATCCACTGACCAAACTCAGATTTTTAAAAGATGTGTATAGATGATGGAAGAAAGAGCCAATAACAAGGATAAATACAGATGAGAAACACTATCTTGTAAAAATTGTGCCAGCTGAAGCAAGTGATGAAGGCTGTCAACCAACCAGTTGATTAACAAGCAAATGCTTCTTAAGTTCCTATTATATGCCAAGCAGAGAGTTACATGAACACATGATACAAAGACAAAAACAAGGCAGTCCCTGCCCTCACGGAGTTTGCATTTTATTGGGGAAGAAAACACATATATGGGTATATAAAGAATATATGCAAAATAAATACAAGATAGACTTAAAAGGGAGGGTACTAGTAGCTTGAGGGAGTCAGAAAAGCTTCATGTGTTAGAAAGTGGCACTTGAACTGAGTTTGGAATGAAGGCAGAGATCCTAAGGAGCAGAGAAGAGGAAAGAAGGAGGCATGGAGATTCTGGTATGGGCAGTAAGTGTAAAGGCAAAGAGAAGGGAGATGAGATTTCTTATTCAAGGAAGAGAATGTAAAACAACATGGCTGGAGTACCTTAAAGGGGAGAGGAACAATGTATAAGACTTCAAAAATAGTTTGGGGCCTGGCTCTGAAGAGCTTTAAATGTCAGAGATTTCTATTTGGTCATAGAGATAACAGGGATTTGCTGCAGTTTATTGAGTGAGGAAAGAGGCAGGATAGTAGCTAATATGACCATGTCATCACTTTGACAACTGTGGGGAGAGACAGAAACTAGATAGAAGACTACTGCAATAGCCCAGGTAAGAGATGGTGTGGACCTGAATGAAGATAGAGGCTGAATGAGTGGAGAGGAGACGTGTGGCAAGAGGTGTTACAGAGATGGAAATGACAAGACTTGGCAATCATTTGAATAAGGGGGAAGGGATGAGTGAAAAGCTGAATGTGACACCAAGACTGCAAACCTGAGTGCCTGGAAAGAGGATGGTGCCTTTAACGATAATAGGGAAATTTGGAAGAGAGATGAGTTTCTTGTGTGTTCAGTCATTTCAGTCATGCCTGGCTCTTCATGACCCCATTTAGACTTTTCTTGGCAATGATGCTGGAGTGGTTTGCCATTTCCTTCTCCAATTTATTTTACAGATGAAGAAACTGAAGCAAACAGGGTTAAGTGACTTGCCCAGGGTCACATAGCTAGTATCTGAGGCTAGATTTGAACTTGACACCTCCAGACACCAGGGCCAACATAGCTGCCCTGAGTTTCTTGGGGAAAGATAATAAATCCTGTTTTTTACAAGAAGTTTGAGGTGTCAATGGAGTATCCAATTCAGAACATCCTATTTGGCAGTTTGTGGGAGAGCAGTTTCGGCTGGATATGTAAATACTGGAATCATCTAGACAGAGATGATATTTGAACCTATGGGATCAGATTATAACATAGAAGAAGAAATAGGTCCTGCCCCCTTCTCCCCCTTAAAGCTATGTCGGAGGTTCAAGGTAGGTGGAATGATGAAAACAGATGATGGAAGAGAAGGCAGAACCACTCAACTCTTTATTTTGCTTCTGTTTTTGCTTCTTGGAAGTAGAATGATTTTTAGACTGAAGCATAGAACAAAAACGTAACAAGGAATATAAACTCAACTAAAGGGAAACATTTATCAGACAGCATGTCACACTCCTTGATGACTTCAAGTCACTCCTTCTGACATACTGAAACAACCAGCAGATCAATGATTTTTATAACACTTTGGAAAAGTGCCACAGGACTGGAGAATATCAAATGTCTACTACTCCTGACAAAATTCTAGAACACACTGTTAAGAAGAAGGTATATAACCACTTAAGAAGGGTAGTGGTGATCACCAAAAGCCAGCATGGCTTCTGCATGAAAAGTGTCAGACTAACCTAATTTCTTTTTCTGATAGGGTAATCACTCAGGTTGATCAGGGAATGCTGTATGCACAAATACACTTAGATTTAAGCAAAGTACATGACAAAGTCTTTTCTGTTGTTTTTTTGGATAAGGTAGAGGGATAGGGCTAGATGAAAAGGTGGATTTGTAATGACCAAATGACAGAGTATGCATTAAAAGGTTGATGTCAGCTTGAAGGAAGGTCTCTAATCCAGCGCTCCTGGGATGTGCCCTTGGCTGTGTGCTGGTGAATATTTTTTTTATCAGTAATTTAAACAATGGCATACATGGCATGCTTATGAAAATTACACACAAAGCTGGGTGGTATAAATAATGCATTAGACGACAGAGCCGGGACACAATGGAACCTCAATGACTGCATCCAATAATGTGAAATTCAACAGGGGTAAGTGTAAAGTTTTGTGGCAGTGTGGAGAAAGAGCTGGTCTCTGATTGAGGACAGTGCAGGTTTGAGTCCTGTATCTGATATATACAGGTAACGTGTCTCTGAGCAAGTCATTTAAATTCTCAATTTCCCAGGCTACTCCTTAGAGCAGGTGCTGATTTGTACTGGTAGAAGGAATATCCTAACAGGGAGTTCCTTACACCAATAAAATCATGGGTCTGGAATTGGAAAAAAAAAAAAAGTGAAGTTACATATTTAGGATTCACGAATAAATTTAAATGCATACTTGGGGAAGCAATATTTCCTTTTGAAAGAGTTCCTGGGGCTTTGGTAGGCTGGAAACATACTATGAGTCAACAGTGTGACAGGGTACTCTAAGAAGTTCACTGTATTCTAGGTGGTCTGAATTAAGAGGAAAAGCACCCAGGATAAGGGGATGGTTCC